TATCAGGAGAGGATTTTTTAATAACAACTCAGAATAAAACAGGAGTAACAACTTTCTACTTCTTACCTTTTTAAAAATGTAGTGAGTAGAAAGTACAGATAATTGTGTAAAAATGTAATGAGTAAAAGTAAAAAGTACGCTGAAAAATAATTACTCAAGTAAAGTACAGATACCCAAAATTTCTATGTAAGTACAGTAACAAAYTATTTGTACTTAGTTACTTTACAACTTTGTTATGAACTCAGTCAGACCTTGTATTCTTCCTGCTAATTGCCTCTGATTAGAACGATGTTGTTTGGATCAGAACAAGAACGTTTGATGATTCAGCTTTTAGTAGTATTAAGCCCAGGCTGTGGGACGAGTCCAGAATCTGAATACTTGGTAAAATTAAAAAGTTTTTAAATTTACTACTATTGTCCAAACACTATTGGAAAACTAAAAGGATATGAATGTTAACAATATCAACCCCCAGACTTCAGAGTTTAATGACATTTCTGTTCTAATTTCCTCTTAAGAAACAAAAACATCCCTAACAGATGATCAGTAATTATGTGAAAGATTTGTTTTATCTGAAGGACCCAAATGAAGACACAGAGTGGAACGACATCCTGAGGAAGAAAGGCATCCTTCCTCCCAAAGAGATCCCTAAAGATGATGAAGAGGAGGAAGACGCCCTTCAGCAGCAGTCTGTTGGTAACAGAGCTGGCTCCTTCTGTTGTCATGTTTACATAGTAATGAAACACTTGTACATTATTCAGTCAGGGTTTAAAAGATGCAACAGTTTGTGTATTTAAGCCATCTAAGTGTGGGGTTCTGTTCAGAACACGTAACTATTTCCTAACTGTTGTCTGGGAGCAGTTAAGACCTATGAGAGCATGACGCTGGAAGAGCTGGAGGAGAATGAAGATGAGTTTGGTGAGGATGATGAGGCTGCCATAGAGATGTACAGGTGAGTGATGTGTGCTGCAGCTGATGGTGCTGTTAAAGACTGGACCTCCTGGGTTCTGATGAAACAGTTTACACCTTTCTCATCTCATGGTTTACAGTCAAAATTCATTCAGTTTTCAAATTAACAGATTTATCTTTATGTTTATATTTACAATGCCAGTTTTAATTTTTGTATTAATAATTGAAGAAAATTGATGTTTTGAAGTTGAAATGATTTCTCAGTGTTAACTGCAGTTGAAACGATTTCTCAGTGTTAACTGCAGTTGAAACGATTTCTCAGTGTTAACTGCAGTTGAAACGATTTCTCAGTGTTAGCTGCAGTTGAAACGATTTCTCAGCATTAACTGCAGTTGAAACGATTTCTCAGCATTAACTGCAGTTGAAACGATTTCTCAGCATTAACTGCAGTTGAAACGATTTCTCAGTGTTAACTGCAGTTG